AGGGAAATGCAAATCAAAACTACAATGAGATATCATCTCACTTCCGTCAGAATGGCTATAATTAACAGGACAGGAAACAACAAGTGTTGGAGAGGATGCGGAAAGAAGGGAACTCTCATACACTGCTGGTGGGAGTACAAACTGGTGCAGCCACTATGGAAAACAGTATGGAGATTCCTCAAAAAATTAAGAATACATCTACCATATGATGCAGCTATTCCACTGCTGGGTATTTTTCCAAAGAACATGAAAACATGAATGTGTAAAGACACATGCACCCCTAAGTTCATCACAGCATTATTCACAATAACCAAGACTTGGAAGCAACCTAAGTGCCCATCAACGGGCAAATGGGTAAAGAAGATGTGGTATATATTCATAATGAAATACTGTTCAGCCATAAGTAATGATGAAATCCGGCCATTTGCGACCACATGGATGGAACTTGAAGGTATTATGCTAAGTGAAATAAGTCAGAGGGAGAAAGTCAAATACTGTATGATCTCACTCATAAGTAGAAGATAAAAATAACAACAAACAAACACATAGCAACAGAGATTGGATTGGTGGTTACCAGAGAGGAAGGGGGGAGGGAGGAGGGCAAAAAGGGTGATGAGGCACATGTGTGTAGTGATGGATTGTAGTCAGTCTTTGGGTGGTGAACATGATGTAATCTACACAGAAATCGAAATATGATGATGTACACCTGAAATATATATAATGTTATAAACCAATGCTACTACCATAATAAACAAATAAAAATTAAAATTAAAAAATTTCAAATATAATGTATAACTAAGAACATAAACCATAATGTCAATAAAGTACTAAACTGTTTCAAATGAACCAAAAAACCCAAAAGAAAACAAAACAAAAACTAGACTAGTGAATGCTGTTTCATGAAAGACAAGGGAAAATATTATTCCAAAGAAGTGGAAATGTCAAAAGACTTGAATATCACTGGAGTCATACAAGATGAGAATTGAAACATATTCATTGGACTTAGTGCCTTAGAGATAAAAGAGTGATCACACTTCCTGAACCAGATATTTCTGACTCCTGATTTCCTAGCATAATTATTCATAATGCTTCCTTTTCCTTTTTAAAGAGTGTTCTGATTTGTACAAAAAACTATAGTTCATCTTGCTTAGAGAGGTTATATTGTGATTATTTAAAACTATTTTGGGTGGAGCACTGGGGACATAAGCCAGATTGTCAAGGAATGGGCATTAGTGGGAGATTAAGGAAAGGGCATAACAATACGTAGCAATGCCTGAAGAAGTTTAATTGTGAGGAGAAGGCAAAAGATAAGTAAGAAGCTGAAGAGAGATATAGAATTGAGAATTCTTGATTTTTGTTGATACCACTGTTTCTTAAACGGGATTGAATATGGCCTCTAACATGATCGGAAAGAAGGAGGAAACTTGCATGGAAATATGTTTCTATGTTTGAAGGAGAAAGAGGTGAGATAAAATGCTGAGAGTAACAGGGAAAAGAAGAAAGAATTTACCACATATTTGAAGCAAGAGGAGAAGGACTCAAATGGTCAAGAAATTTCAGTTTTTAACCTTAAATAGGCAGAGCAAAACTTTCTGCCTCCTAGGTCATTCAGCCCAAAAAATATGAAATAAATGCTTTTTCCATCGAGTCTAGCCAAGAAGCTTAAATATAAAAAGATTTGGGGCTGAAGCCCTAGGTAGTAATACAGTGTTAATTTGCCTTATTTTTCCTTTGGGCTTAGATCAGTTTTGCCCAGGAATCTGGCGGAATTTCAATTTCTTTTACTTTTTCTTTTTTTTGGTGGGGGTGGGGATTAGGGGAAGAGAAACTAACCTTGAGTGGCTTAATTAAAGACAAGCTTATAGACATGATTCATGGTGGTTCACAGAATCAATGAAAAATTGACTCACAGATCCCAAGACATACGTATAAGAAGCCCATGTGATGAGACCATGTGCTATGAGGCAGGTTTGAATGCTTTTTCACCTAAAGTAAGTTTGAGATAACTCCATTAATAAGATTTATTTTGGAAAATGGAGATATGCCTCATATGTATGTGAATAGGGGTGTGGTTTGTTTGATTGAAAGAGTGGAAGTAGTCCCGAAGGTATTGAGACACGAGAAAGCATGGCACATCCAGGAAAATTCAAGCCCTTCATTTTGGCTCGAGCATAAGATGTGAATGGGAGGAGAGGACGCACTGAGGCAGACAGGTAGGAGTGCAGTCAGCCATGAAGGATCGGACATCATCCTAAGGCATTTGGATTTCATGCTGAAGATAATGGGAAAGCACTATGACTTCTGCATCATGATGGAAATCTGCTCAGTATGTATTATATGTGGGTTGGCCAGCTTAGGTATTTTATACTATCAAGTGGTGTCTAAATTAATAAATCAGGAGTCTGGAAGTTGCTCTTCCCTCAAAAACTACAGCATAAAAAAACACACTCCTTGCTGAAGCTGAGAAAAAAGAAACAGAAACTTTAAAGCGGAAAACCATGGGACTGCCCTGTCCTTACTCTCCTGTGTGACTTGCATATACTGTTCCTTTTTTCTGGAATGCCGTTCTTTTCCTGTTGCCCTGAAGAACTGCTCTTCCCTCTCAGATTCAATTCAAATATTTCCTCTTCCCTGAAACTTTCTTTGGCTTCAATAAGATTTAATGATTCTTACTCTCTGCTCACTTACCACCTTGTTTAGGCTTCCTTAGCAGACCTGGCGCTTTACTGTAGCTGTGTGTTTACAGGTCTCTACTTTGTAGCTCTGCCTTGGGGCTGGCCATTTTGTTGGTTATGGAGTGGTACAGGAATATTATAGTAAAGTCATTTCATGTTAGTTTTTTATAGATTATGTGGTTAAGTGACAGCCATAGATTCAGGGGAAAAAATTCAAGAGATCTTGATACACATGGATGAAAAAGTTAAGTATATTCATTCATTTGAATAGAGACCCATTTGGAGAATGTGGTAGCCATGATCTATGTGGCTTCAGTCCCATGCCTAACCTCTTATGTCCTCCCCACTAATGCCGTGGCTGGGAGCATGAACACACATTTCAGAGCCTCTCATGCCAGCTGAATTCTAGTTTGATCTGCCAATGAGAGGCACTTGCAGGAAAGTATTAGTCAAAAAACTGTGGAAGACCTTTTTTCCCGCTTCTCGTAGGGGAGGCAGAGAGAACACCAGCTCCCAGGCTTCTGATCAACCCTGTGGCCATTCTTTAAGCTCTCTGCTCAGTGCTTCCACCAGCGGCAGCAACAAAGTTTCCAAACATCAGTAGAATGTTGGCTCCTGGCTTATCATAGATTTCCTCCTTCAGGCTTCTCCAGCCCTAAGGCCAGGAGCAGTTTCCTGCAATTACTGATCTCTGAGACACAGTACCTTCACCTTTTCATTATCCTAGCCCTTTTAATAACTTTGTATCATTTTTCTGTTTTAAAATCTCCTTTGCTTGAAATACTTATAATGGTTAGTGCAACCTGGGGAGGAAAGATACTGATGTTGAGTAGGATTGTAGCCATGCAGATGGAGAAATGTACAGCTTTAGGCTATATTTTGCAGGGAGTGAAGGAAATAAAAGAATCAAATATTATTCCCACTTTTTTGATTTGAGAATCCAGTGTTTCTACTGTGACAGGGAAGAATCAAAGAGGAGCAAATTGGGCAAAAATATAACTGTGCTGAAATTATAACTGTGAGCATTTAGGATATCAGAGAATGCCTTGCAAGAATGCCTCTGTCTTTATAAGATTAGTCTAGTTGAAGAAGGAGAGAAGAAAGGAATTGTACTGATAAAATTGTGTCATTTAGAAAGGCAGATTTGGTTAATGGTTGTAAGTGTGGGCTCCAGGATCAGACGATCTCGTTTAGATTTTATGTTACTTTGAGCATTTTATTTTTAATCCAGAAAGCTAGTAATTCCATAACAAACACATGTATTCACCATCCAAGCTGACAAGGGAGGATATAAAGAAATGAGAATAAAAATCTAATCTACCACTTCACTAGTTTATTGCATTTGCATAAATTCCTTTTTGTGTAAAAAAGAAATAAAATACTATAGTTGTCATATTCTGTACTCCCACCCTTAGCACTTGTTTTAAATTAGGTATTTATTTTTTCAGTCTGTAGTTTCATACTTTACAAAAAACACATCCATGAATAATATATAATTTTGTACATTGTTTTAATTTTACTTCATGGGTAGAAGAATATATATGTTATTCTGAGGATTGTTTTTTCCAAATTTTTATACCTATGTGTGCACGTGTGTGTGTGTATACCTGACAGTGTAACACCCTAGTAAATGCCAGCTATCGTATAGCAGAGCTACTGGAGAAAAACACTCTTCTTTAGTCTTAAAGAGCCTTAAGGAAGGCCCAGTGAGACAGTATGTAGCCTGAACATATGGCGCCTTTAGGCTATCTCTGCTCTGTCAATATCTTTGCAATAAATTACACTATCCATGGGTACGTCTGAATCTAGGATCGCCGTTTGTTGTACTGAAGTCTTCTGTGCTATTTGGCTGCGGAGTCGTAGAAGGTAAAAGAGTACTAATCATTTTTTGTACCTCTAGCACTTAATACAGTGCCTGGCCTAGAACAGATTCTTAGTAAATGTTTGATGATTGAATAAATGACTGAAATCTGCAACATCATGCAAATAGAGATCCTTTTTGTGTCATAAATAACTGACAGCATTTTTTAGAGCACATTTCAGGAAAACACAACTCTTTAGCATTGGAGTTGATACAGATACTGTTACTTGATGTTAAAACTTGGCACAAGCTGCAAACCTACATGGCCCAATATGAGAACTACATGTTTGAGAGAAGAATGGAAGGCAAAGAAAAAGATAATAAAACCTTATAGAATGTTCCCTGAATAAGGCTTATTCTTGTTTGGATGTGATACACATTACATAAATTCACTAATAACAACAAATTAATTTTGCATATTTAAAATATGATATATATTGTCATAATAAAACACAGTATAGCAATGATTTTCACCTGTATTTAATATTTTTTAAATGGGTGTTTTAAACATTACCATTTCATTGTACATACTCATTGCATTTATGAATCAGAATATATTTCTTAAAAGATGCCTTCATTTCATAGTACTATGTTTTCAATTATGTGCAAATATTTAAGCAACTGAAATATAAAACATTCACTCATATTCTTAATGGGTGTGGCATAGGAATCCATTTTCTGTCACTCCAGATCACAAAGTACTTTCCTAAGTAAGCTGCATATTGAGTCATGGGAGTATTACATAAAGAGTTGTAAAGTAAATTGAGATCACGCCTGGGCTAAATATAGAAAGCACTAAATTCCTGATGGACATCCACACATTATAGGAATTAGACATTCAACCCTAGATGGTAATTAAAAAACTATAGACATCAGCCTCTAAATCAATGTCATTAAAAATCAATCACAACAAAGACAATGACAATGAAAATTTCTATACAATAAAAAGATTTTTGAATCACAGATGATAATCAAATTACTTCGAGCAATATTCAACGCTACAACAGCTCAGTGCAATTTTTTAATTGGGACACTCCTTTCAAGATATTTGTTTTTAATCAAAGCAAATTTAATTGGAGAGATTGTCCTCCAAATTTTATCTCAAGTTAACTTATAAATCTTCTGCTCATCATCATTCTTTATTTTAGGGCTATATTTTCTATGGCTATACAATTGAAAACTTTTGTTTATTATAAAATCTTTTATATCTAAATATTGCTACTCTGCAGACATGATTTAAAAATGTGTGGTATATATTAACATTGCAAACACATATACAAAACTAATATCAAAATGATGTGCTGATATTTCTAGTTGTCTGTAAAAACAAATTAGCCCTGCAACGTGTCCTAGAAAGCTCTTTTCTTTTCTGAATACAATTTTATTCATATTCTCCAAGTAGCAAGTTCGAATGTGTGGGATATATTTGCCATTAAACCTTTCTGTGTGAAACGTAAACACTAAATCACCTAATAGAGTCCTATCTCAGCTTCTAAATGGAATTATTTATAACATCTTTGGAATATAATTATGTGAGCTCCTCTTAACCATCCGGAGATTTTGCTTCTTGAAAACAACTCGCAATGGTGTAGTAAAGCATTTTGTTCGTGTGTTTGTTTCTTATTAAACAGATATGATAAAATTGTCTTTATTGAGTAGTGGCATTTTTTTTTTTGACTTTCAGAGTAAGGTAGTCCATTTGCAGCAGCTTGATATAAAAGGAAATAAATAATAATAATTAATATGAATAAAACTACTGCATTTGGTGAAAGCATAATTCAACGATGGCTAAGAATTTCAAAAGATAAAATGCTCTCCAAATTGTGTCCATCTGCATGATAACATTGAATAAAGATTCTTTGAATAAGTTGAAGAGTTATATACTTACTAAGTGGGCTAGATAATTAAATAATTACACATTTTGATTGAAAAATAGATGTAGTTCATTAAAATAGAGACTCTCACTCCACTTCTCTAACTAAGCTGCTATTCAGATGCCAAGTTTGTACTTTAATTAGAACAAAAGACCGACATTAACTTCAATGCAATATAATAATTCATAATAATGATTGTATATTAATCTCTTGAGTTTGCTGGAATATAGCACATGACATATGGCAGAGTACAGGCACCTGCGTGGTCCTCTGGGGACTGAGGTGGTGCATATTAATTAGCCCCTGGAAAATAAAATCTGTTTCCCTCTGAGACAAGCTACCTCAGCGCTTATTGACTTAAGACATCAAAGGAATTAGGCGAATACTGTTAGGGTCTGTCTACACTCATTAAAGCTTTGTCTAGATAGAAGCACTGAATCCACCACTCCTGAGTTAATTCTTGAAAGAATCCTTCTTAAGAAATTAGAGTGGCCACGCATTTCTTTGGCCTCAATGATTGGATTTGGGCTGAAAACATAAAATTACCATTTTGGTTACAGAAAATTCTTTAACTATATAATTCAAACACAAGATAATCTAACCAGAAACATATTAAAATTAGAAGCAGCTTCTTTTTTTTGAATGCTCCCTAAAAGTGCCTCAGTTTAATCCTTTGCTTTGCAAATTCGGATACAATCTCAATATGAGATTATAAATGTCTTTGAGAAGTATGTCATCTCGCAATAGATAAGGTCTCAAGATTCTTGGCAGCCTCAGGTATGCTAAGGGCACTTCAGTGTACCTCTTCAAAGGATAATGGAAAGATACTGTGGAAATAAAACTGGCTGATTAACAGATAAATCTATATTGAGACAAATAGATCCTAAAATTACTTTCTCAGGGTAAGAAAAAAAAGCCTGATCCCATTGCTGGAGTATGTCTAGAAAAACAGAAAACTGAGTGGACATGGTGATGACCAGAAAAACTACATTTTAAAAATTTCTTTGAAACTCCTCTTCTTTCAAATTCTCATCACTTGAAATTCTGAATTGCATAAGACAAACAACGTAAATTGAAAATTATTTGCATTTATTGGGGTGCTTAGGACTCTGAAGTTCTTCAAGATCTTTCAGAATAGGAGACTCCAATGACACTTTTTTAAGCTAGCAATTTAAACTCAAGCAAGAAATAGAGATTCACTTGTATAGCTAAGCAGAATATTTCTTTTCACAAATACCACATTGTTCGTTTTTTCCCCTGGGTTGCATCCGTGCTCCTGTGATGGAACTGTTATGTTGCTGACATAACTACTGGAATATGTGGACCCATTTCCCTTCCGCTCACACGCGGATCGGCAGTTTAAAGTAATTCCTTTCTGTTAAGGGAATGTGCGCTAAGGCACATTTAAACAGTCTATTAAACCAATGAGATGACAATGTGCTACCCTCCGAGTTAGCTTAATTTTTGGACTAATTAATTACACCTAGCACAGAATGTCTCTTGAGAACACTTTTGGCTGGGTCTACCAATTTATTGTGCAAATAATTATAGTTTTGCATTTGAGGCAAAGATGCTGATTCACCATCCGGCAGATGGTAACAAATAATTGTTTATTTTTGTAACACATCTTTCCATTGGGGAAACCTACCGTATGCTACATATTTATTTAATTTAAAAAGTCAATTATTCTGAGTTTTTAAGGATGATATAAAACTGTGGTTGTAAATCCCAGCACCTGGGTTTTTTTTTGTTTCCATTGAAATTATATAGGCATTTTGAGGAGGAAATTGTCAGATATGTGGCTTCTGGTCTTTCTTTACTATTTTACATCTAGCTGTCATGGTATTCTACAATGGTGCACTTATTTTTAATGCTCTGATAGACATCTTCTCATTTACCTACATATGTACACCATTGTTGGAGTGGGCTATCTTTAGAGGAATGATGTAATTTGCTTCTTCAAACTCCTTCACTAAACCAGTGAAGTGGCAGACTACACAGTCTGATCAGTTGTGTAGAAATACATTAAAATTTTCAATTATATCACTTTCTATAACCAAAGATTCTTCTGATGTTTTCTGCAGCACTCAGTGTGAAGAACACAAGACTGGATACCAGAGGGCCCAGGAGAGAAACACACCTCAGCCATTTTTATTAGCCTTGGGACTTTGAACAAGTCATTCAATCAAGTTTCCTCATTTTTAAAAATAGGTTTTGTGGGGATTCAATTAGAAAAAAACAAATGAGAAGTCTAGAACCATTTTGCACATGTAACAGGCACAAATGTTAGCTATGTCTGCATCCTTTTTTTGAGAGATACAATGGTTATTCTCTCTCTCTTTTTTTAATGGTGCCATTAATAGCAAAGCTTTAGGTACCTCTTGTTATTGCGACTCTTCAATTTATCTAGATACATTGCCAAATAATATTTTCTCAGGACCCAGGATTAATGTAGATTAGAAATTCTTAAACATCGGTGTGCATAAGGATAATTTGGGAAATCTTACCGAAGATGAAGATTCCTAGGCCTCACTCCTTCAAATCCACATTTTGAGAAACACTGATTTAGATTGCTGATTTAATATAGAGCTGAAATGTTGTCTCGTAAAAGCATTTTACTCAAGGCCCTGCTTCCTGACTTCCGGCGTCAGGTAGAGCCTCTCCCCACTCTTCCCCAAGGACCCAGTTTTTGTGTCCTTGCCTGGGTTCAATGGGACAGTTCTGCTGGTCAGCTATGGTTAGACAATGAGCTAATCCTTAATTAAAAGCAGTGATTCCAGGCCATACAGCGTCTGATAGAATGGCTGGTTACATAGAATGCCCTGGAAAAGAGCATTTATAATCCTAGCACCTTAGGGAGAGAGCTGGATACACTGCACGAAAAAGCAGAGAAGCTTAAATTCCAGGAGTGCTTTTGCTACTAATTGAATATGTGAGTATATCCACATTCCTTAATCCCTTTGGCTTGAGTTACTGCATCTGATGGGGCTGACGATGCTTTCCATGCTGAGGGTAACGTCTGAGGGCTTAGACCAGAATGTCTCTTAGGCTTTCTTCTGACTCCAGAATCTATCCTTTCAAGAGAGGGCAATTTCCCGTGCATACCCTTCTTGAACCCAAATTCAGTGGCGCAGACTTGCCACATTTTCTTGGGAGAATAACCAGTAATGATTCATCATGTCCTGGCACAATTCTATGTATGAAGGATTGTGAGAAGAACCAGGCTCCCAGATCTCTCAGCAACAATTTAAACCTACTACCAATTCACTGAAGACACTGGTTATTAATTTGCATAAGATTTTATTTACTTGGATCTATTGGGGAAAAAATTAAAATGATACAAATTTGCAGGAAGCCTGAGGTAATCATACCAAAGCACTAATGCTCCTAGTGAAGAGGTTTGCTGTAGTCAACGGTGTGGAGCAGCATCTACAGAATTGGTGGACATCTGTTTTAATTATAATTTAGTTTCTTCACATAATCGCTTAAATAGACTAAGAGAAACATGTTTGCCCATAGTTAACTTCAGTTGTCAAATAGCATTTGAATTTAGAAGTGAGGAATACATAATATAGAGATTTTTATCAGTGGAATGTGGTTTACCTAGGTACACAATCTTTGAACAAAAGCTTACAAATAGATTTTGTGCTCTCAAAGCTCTTACAGACTAAGGGAGTTAAATTACTTAGGATTTTGTTCTAAGATGATAAACTACCAAACCAATACTTATTTGTTTTTGCATGTTTTAAATTCAACTCCAAATGAAGAACTGGAATGAATACATTGAAGCTTGATTAAATATTTAAAATCCTTTGGTATAAAGCATTTTATCATTTGGCCTCACACATGTCTGCATGTGTGTTCCCACCTCTTTTGTGCTGTTGATTTTGGTGGAGCAAGAGGGGGCACTGAGTTTGAGGCATACAGGAGCCTGTTCCTTTTAGTTCTTTCCTGTAGACACTCCTCAGCATGGCAGATATTTTCAAACGAGCAAGTACATTGGTTTAAAAAAATTGTAAGATAGTTTCATTTCTCATGTAAAAATATGTACACACAGGCACTTCACATGAAAATGAATTTCTGCTTGAATTATCTAGCTAATTACTTCAACTCTCTTCTTTGCCTTGAGCATGTAAACATTACCTATGGTAGGAACAGCTGACCCTTATAAATCAATTAATCAATACTGATTAATTCTTTTCCTTCAACTTTAGCTTTCCTTTAAACTAAGATTAGGCTTAGGCTTATCCATAAAAACTGAAGACTTAGACACACAGGCAGTGTCTCTAATGTTGCTCTAGCGGTGTGTAATGGAGAAGTCCACTTGTGTGTTGTGTTAGGTAGAGAAAATTCACATGAAATATTCTGAAGATATGTTTCTCAAGGGGAATTGCTTTATTCAATACCAGAAGAATGTTTCTAAAGGTAAGCTAAAAGTTTAAACTGTCACCTGATAGAATTCTAAGGTTTCAGGGAATAGTGGATGCTAGGGCCATTCAATGACAATGTCGATACAAAAAACTTCATTTTCCACATGAGAGAAGAACTGAAGCCTGGGAAAAACAATCTTATAGTAACATTATATTTTCTGCACAAAATTCTGCGTGAATATTTTCTATGTTTTCATCTTTGTCACAATCAAGGATAAAGAAGGGAAAAATATCAAGTTTCTTCATAGAATTAAGGAGCTTTTCACTGATCAAAACAACTGTTTCTTTTGTGGTAAGTCCTTTTTGTCAGTGGCAGAAATAGCAATTTGATGCTTTTTAAGATATTTTGGGTTTTCAAAGAGAAACTTTGCTACTTTCCTGTGGAAATTATATGGTATTCTGTGAAAACTGCCTTACAGCAAGGAGTTTCAGAAAAGATACAAGAAGCAAGAGCAATATGAGATGCTTTCATTTTAGAGTAGCTAGGTTTCAGTGCTTCCAACAGAAACAACAGAAGAATAAATAAGAAATATATTCTCCCTCATAAGACATACATCACTCTTGAAATTTTTACGAAATCAACTGAGGCAAATTAGAGGTTTCAAAGCTAGTCACCTTATAAGTTGTTAGGAAAAAAATTTGCATTTAAATTGCTCTGTGCAGCTACCTTGAGATTTTCCCCTGGAATGTTTATGGCTCCTTTTTTCATTAATACTTAAAAAAAAAAACAATTTCATAACCAGTGTATTACTACATCTAGTTGTGTTATGAACAGGCACTTCATTTCGTAAAATAGAAACATTCAAAGTGGTTTTGGTCAACCAATCACTTGGTCAGAACACTTGAATTCTTCATATTGAATACTTACTAGTGAAGTTAATCTGAAACCGTATTAACTCTCCATTCCTATTACAGAAATTAGGTCATTAATCACTCTAACATAGGGAATAACCTCTATTCCTATGTGTTTTATCCATAAGAGTGAAGATTGTCCAGAACTTCTTGGAACATTTTCCCCAAAATATTTTATATATATAAAAATACAGCAGATTTCTTTTTAATAGATAAATCTTAAGTATTATTTCAATAACTTGCTTTTACATATTCAGAAATGTAGATATAAGAAAAATATTAAATGTGCAAAATGCTCTTTTCATATGTACATTAAAAATACAATTAATAATAGCTTTAGACTTGTATGAAAAGCCATTTGCGGGGAAAAAGTCTTCAATGTCAGAAAATCTGGTCAGATTAGAGCTTTTGCTTGAGGAATTGTAAACAAACTTTTTAAAATGCTGAGAGTTTTCTCAGTTCTTTCCAACCAAGACATTCTCGAACACATCAAGTCCTGCTTTGAAGTAAACCTGAGCTGAATTAATGCTGTTCAACACCTCTGACAGGGCTTCTTGAAGGGTCTCATTTGATGGAAGTGACTTGCAGTGCTCCGAAGCCTCCAGAAGTATTGAAAACTGGCTTGTCTTCTCATCAACGTGGTACAGTATATTTCTAAAAAGAAATATGGAATGTGTAAATGTTTTATGCACAATGCTATTTTCATACCCAACGTTTTAATGAATATTTCCAAGACACAATGATGCTTGCAATGATTGAAGAAGAAATTATAAAAATGCAGTATCATTTTTCAACCTCTAATGAATTAATGGATGTCAACATTGATCATCAAAAGTTTCCCGTAGTGATGAGAGAGAATCAGACATTACGTGCCACCTGATGGAAGTACACAACACTTTCTATGAAACAGAGTAAAGTAGTTTTGCTTAAAAAATTGAATCTGAATCTGATGAAGCTTCTAATTCTAATTGCTAAAAAATACAAGAGACAGAGAAATATACTAAATGATACCATGGTGTGTCACCAGCAAAACCGACTGTGGGAAACTCTATAGGACAACTGATTCAGCTTATTCAAGAAACAGATTGCAATAAGAATAGGTGAAGGATGAACTTCTAGAGCAGGGTTTCTCAACGGGTAATTCTTTATTGTGGCAGCTGGCCTGTGCATTGCAGGATGTTTAGCAGTATCCCTGGCCTCTACCTGCTGGGTATCAGTAGTACCCCTCCTTTAGTGGTCTCAGTTAGTGCTGCCTGCTATAACAGAATACCATAGACCCGGTGGCTTAAACAACAAATGTTTATTTCTATAGTTCTAAAGACCGGACGACCAAGATCAGGGTGCCAGCATGGTCAGCTTCTTGGTGAGAGCCCTCTTCCTGGTTATATTCTCACACGGCCTTCCTTGGTGCATGCACATGGACAGAAAGATCCTGGGTCTCCTCCTCTTTTTATAATAGTATTAGTCTCATCATGAGAGCTCCACCAGCCTGACTAATGTAATCTTAATTACCTCTCAAAGGTCACACCTCTAAATACCATCGAATTAGGGTCAAGGTTTTAACATATGTATTTTGGGAGGACACAAACGTTCAGCCCCTAGCAGTTGTGAAAACCAAAAATGTCTCCAGACTGCCAAAACTGTTCCTTACAGAACAAAATTACCCCCAAGTGAGAACTACTGCTTTAGATTAAAGGAAACCTATCAACCAGTCCCAAAGCATAGACTCGACTAGGTCTTTGTTCAAACAAACTGTTTAAAAAATGAGACGTAGTGCAAAATTAAACACTAACTGAAAATTTGCTAATATTAGGGAGTTGTTAATATTTTAGTTGTGATAACAGTATCATCAGTATGTTTTCAAAAAGTATCTTTATCTTCTGGAAATACACACAATGATATTTTCAAATAAAAGGTTTTCATGTCTGGGATTTGCTTCAAAATGTTTTGGAGGAAAAAGGAGAGTGGAGCTGTGGACTGTATAGGTGGGAAAAGATTGACTGTTAATACATCTGAGAGCTATATATTGTTATAATCCAATGTTACTGCAATTAAAAAGTAAATGAAAAAATAATTAATTTAAAAAAGATTGTTAATAATTGTTGAAACTGGATAATGGAATTCACTAGACTATTCTCTCTTTTTTTGTATATATTTGACATTTAGAATATCATCTTCTCATAAATGTGGAGTGTGTAATAAGATGGTGTCCTGAAATTCATCCAAATTTCTGAGAAAGAGGAATTTGGCCTTGGGCAAGTCTAAAGCAGTTCCTTTTATTCGTTGACAGATAGAAAGAGAAGCATTTTGTCAGAAAACTGTGGATTATTTCATTATTTGACTTATTCCCAATCCAAGGCTAGTTAAAATAGCTGAAGTTCCATGGTCTAATAAGAGAGGCAGATGAAAATAATTGAAATTATCAGCTGTCTAAGTGTCATATTAGAAATATAAGGTTTAGGGATAACAGATGAAGGGTTGACAGTGGGAAAGTTCAGAAAAAAGTTCATAATGGAAAATACTTAAATTTCATCTTGAAGGATGATGGGATTACCAGTCACAAAGCTTTAGGAAATGAAACAAGCTAGAAAGCGGAGAGAGCACACTATGTAGGAGGAACAGCATATGCAAAGGTAGGAATTTATAAAACAGCTTGGTGTTCTCTGTGAATCAGTGTCAGTGTTTCTGTGGGACCAGAGTTCAAGGCCAGAGTGGGCAGCCAGAGTAGAACGGTGGGAGAGCAAGCCATGCCACCATATAGGGCCTTTCATAGCAAGCTAAGGAGATGACCCTTTTCCTTATGGACAATAGGAAACTAGCAAAAGATCTTAAGCAAAAGAGAAAGCTTATTAGATTTTATTTTGGAATAATCACTTTGGTTGTAATATAAACCCTGGAGCACCACTTAGTTCAGATGAAAAGCGACAAAGATGTGAGTTACACAGTTATAAGTGTGAGAAGATAGAGTGAGGGCCACGGTACAAGATTTACAGTACAAGATTTAATTAATTTCTATTTTTCCCTAGCACTAATCTCACTTTTACATGGAGTTTTAGATCATTGTTTTCTATCGAATCAACTTCAGCCTCTCCTGTGCTTCCCACTCTGTGCTCTGTGGTGGTGAACAGGCACCGAAATCGACCACATCACTTATGCCAGAACCCTACGAGTCAACTCTTTCCCATACATATTCAACTGGTTTCTGATGATATTCACTTCTCCATCTTTTCAATGTCTTTTCTTCTCTGTTGTAGAACTCTCATCCCTACGTATTCAAGGATATGTTGTGATATCATTGTTTTACACATCAGGGGTGAGAAATATGCTACTTCTTTATAAGGCCTAATTCAGTGCTGTGAACATAGGTGGTCTTCAATCATGGTGATTTAATTTACTTAGACTTTTATCAGGCTTAGTCCAGCGACGGGAACTTAGTAGATTCCTGATAATGCAAGGGTAAATTATATCAATACAGGTAATTTTGCATTTTAAGCCTTAACGAACTTAAGACTAACAGATTTTGTGTCTTTGGAGAAAAATTTCAGTTGACAATGAGTACACTGGGGTGAGTGGCAATGGGGTAGAAGATCCTTCAATTCAAAGGTTATTTCAATGATTTTTTCAAAACAGACCATTTGAAATGGGAACTATCCCTAATAATCCAATATGCTTGATCTTTGTACCTATGAGTAAACTTGTATGAATTAAATACAGCAGTGCAAGAGAGATACTCTACATCCAAATATTCTTAAATTCAGGTATAAACTTAGTGTTAAGACGCATATATTTCCTGGATATGGAGAAAAGAAAAACATCTTCCAAACGGAGTGGTAAGTGAGTCATGAGCAATGCTCTGGTACTGAGTGTACTATGAGAATGTGGATCTAATTCCAGCAGTAGAACACTCATTAAAATAGAGATTTCCCTTCTGCTAGTCCCACAGTATTTATAAATTAAAGAAATTTTCAGTAAAAGCCATTATATCATGCTCAACTAATGATATAAGCAATTATATATGTATCACATATACATATGTATACATTTGTTAAGTGTAAAAGTTGTTCTTTTGATTATATGAAAATGATTTAAACAAAATAGTGAGAATTCACAAAATATCTAATTAAAATTTCCCTAAATATTAGTTCTATTAGTTTTATATCACTAAAGGGGGAAAAATAAAAGAAATCAAATAATACAGAGGAAACTTGATACAACCAAAGAATTTTCCCAAACGGGGATGAAACTGCCTCAGGCCCATGTAGTCTCCTAAATGACAGAATGTATACAAAAGTCACTTTTTTCAAGTTAATGTAATCTTTTCTAATTTCCATTTAAAAAAAGGAGTGGGTTTTTGTGTCAGGATACCTATCAAACACATTTAAATTCATAGTGAACCATTTAAACAAACACACAAATATATATAATGAAAAATGGTTTAATAATTAAGGTATTTTGAGCATAAAAACAGTTTAAAATATATTTTAATTACTCAATCATTTAAAAAGTACTCCTTTCCAGACAACTTATATCATTTATATCACCAATAACTAAAGTAGTATTATAGAAATGTTTAATCACCTTTCCTATATTTATGGTTTTGAAATCTCACTCTCCACTTTATCAGTTTCATGTTTAATTACAAATCATTTCATGGTAAATATATTTCCAGAATTTAAGAGTGCAATAGATATTTTCAAAAGCTGTACCAAATACTTCCATTCCTTGAAGGCATATTGCTCAGCATGCTGACAAGCAAAGATATTAGAATCATTGTTATCCAGAACCGCCCCTTAAATGAGTTGTACCAGCGCAAGTGATATACGATGGGGAGCATGTTTAATGATTTTTGGGCTGTTATAGTGACTTTTCCACATATTCAAAGTCCACTGGTGCAAAATACATTCCTACATACACATTCTATGGTTATTAAATGTTAAATATTATTAATATTCAATTTAATGATAAGATGATATTAATAAAACATGCTCATAAAGGTTACAGGATTAATCCCTCAATGACAAATCACTGAAGCATGAGCAAAAGCTCTAATATATTTATGTAAAATTTCAGCCATAACTACTATAAAATATCTAGAAGAGAGATAATGTAGAAGAATAAAAATACATCCTAAAAAGAATATTTAGGTCTAAAGCACAAGAAATACAATTATTGTTTTTTTTATTTTAACTGAAGAGCAATACATATATTTCTTAAATACCAATGCAATAGAATCTGTGGTGTGCCAACATTTGCTTTTTCTAACTAGTAAGCAACATAGTAACATACTTTTATAATGAATGTAAACATTCTACCTGAGTAGAAATAGGTCCTTTTTTGGTTTGTGAAATTCTGCAAGGAGCTAAACACATTTTCTGTATGCCACATGATTCAAGTAGTAGGCTGTGGCAAGCTTTTATGTAAGATAAACACTCATACCCATTTCTACTCAAATTGGATACAAATCAGCATAAAACTACAGATACTAAGATTCTCATTGAAGATGAGCGACTAGGATTCTTTCATCATAATTTAAAAGAAAATCTTCATTTTGGGTAGCTGCTGATATAACTTAAACAAGTTGGTCTTTACTATAAAAGAAGTTTTTCACCTTGAGAGATTGTTTTATCTTAAAAACAAATTGGGGAGAACAAAAA